GTTCACCAATGTGCCTTCATGCATCAGAGACGGCTTATTGTTGTTCTTGGTTTGTTGATACTGTATTGATCCCTGAAGGAGAACAGCGTCTGTCTTCCCCTCCACCACCAATCTACCCCCTGCTCTGGAAGGTTGAGGTCAACAACAGAACAGCAGCAGCTTGTTAAAGATTCACCAACTTGCTCAAGGACACTCCAGCGGGGTGGATGGTTGAATGAGATTATGTCTTAAAACCTTGCTCCTAGTTTTTTGTGTAACCCCTTGTAAACACACCTTGTAAAACCATTTTTTTTAGTCTACAAGGAATCACAAAAAACAACCTAAAACACTGTGGCAACTATAATGGGCTTACAGCCTCATCATGATATAATATTGTATTGGTTTGTTTGGATCATGATACAATGTTTCTTTATCACAAAGTTTGTCATAATGCAATTTCGATTCGATCGAGGTGGAGCCCTAATATGATGCTGTAACACTTCCATGAAAATACACCAAATACAAAGCATCCACATGAAACTTACATGTTGGGTAGGAACTATAGATTGTGTATTCATACAAGTTCAAGTATTATGGAGTCTTGTTGATGGTAGGATGGATTGAGACTTGGATCAACAGATAGGGGCCTCGTTTTCTGTAATGAAGACGTTGTTTTGGTCGATTGTGCTGAAGAAGAAGTTGAGCTAAAAGGCAACGCTCTCAGTTTACTGGTCGGTCTGTGCTTCAACCGTCACCTATCATGCATATGACCGAAAGAAAGAGATCTTGGATGCAAGCATTTGAAATGAATGACCTTCTTAAGWAGAAATGATGGTTCTCTGCATTAAAAAGAATCAGTGGAGGCGGTTCAAACATTGGATCAGGATGCCTTCTGGATGGTGTGCATGTCCCATTCAGAGGTGTAAACCCTGAACTCATTGAAGGGATTGTGAATTGTCTCTGGACTGGGATCCCCCCAGGAGGAACTGGAGAGTGATGTCTGGGTTTCCCTCCTGGAATTGTTGCCTTGGTGACTTTAACCATGGATAAGTGGCAGAAAATAGCAATAGCAAGAACAGAATCCTCTTTGTGGGCTGACAATATGGTGGAACTAAAAGTACAAGACCACAAAGTGCWGGACAGTGTTGACCAGAYGTCAKATCAGTCCAAATATGTGACATAAAGGACAATTTCAGGTCTAATATCCAGTGAGGGATGGCTGGAGGGAAGGGTTTCTCTCACATTCAAAATGTATCTGTTTTATTGTTTCATGCAAAAGTGTCTTTTTTTTTAATTATTCTATTTTTTTATGTATACAAGATGTTTGTTGTAGTTGCTGGAGGACAGAAATGGACTAGCATTCTTTAACTTGTCCTCCGAGCTCAAAATCAGCAGCAACAAGTTRATGTGTTTCTGTATCTAAAGTCATTTGTCTCCAGACTGACCCAGTCATTGTTGCTGTTGTAACAAACTTTGATCCTCCAGGTAAAGAAAGCAAACTCTGACACATTCCACGTCTTTTTCTTTGACTTTATCTGTTGTTGTTTCTCTACAGTCCCTTTCCCAGGAATAAARACCTACGTGGACCCCGACACCTACGAGGACCCCACACAGGCCGTCCACGAGTTCACTAAAGAGATCGACCCGTGCAGGATTCGTATCGAGAGGGTGATCGGAGCCGGTACAAACACTCGCTTCCACGCACGCTCATCCAGCCGTGTTTAACTGAATCACAACGTGGGCTGAAGAGAGCTCTTTTGTCCATTTACTGTGATAACAATAGCTTTAAATGTGCCTGTGAGATGATCCACTCTCTGCTCCACTGTGAACACGAACCAGGATGACTTCCTTTCCATTTCCCAGAGTTTCACAGTCATTTTCTCACTGTACAGTGTTGGAATATWGAAGCTTTAATAGGTTTGAAGAACAAAAGAAACATGTTATAATACATTCAAGGATTTATATATACAGTGGCAGAAAAAAATGTTATGAAGTTTAACTAATCAGAGAAGTTATGATGACAATGAGAACTGCAACACTGCCCCCAGGTGGTACGCTGTGGTACCTGCTGATGCTCTAGAGATTGTTGAAGACTTTGTTCTTGTGCCATGTTGGAGTATGAAACTGTGCTCCCTGAATGGGTGACTCACATAAGTAGATTTCAACATGGAAAAAAATTATGTTTCCGTTTTTAGGTTTCATTAAAGTCAAGATTAAGGACAATTAAAGTTGATTTTATGAAACTTTTTTTGATTACTTGAGGTCAGGTTGGTCTTCTGAAATGAACGGTGKGTTTTTATTAATGTCTGCTTTCCAGGTGAGTTTGGTGAGGTGTGCAGCGGGCGCTTGAGAACTCCGGGAAAGAAGGAGATTGCGGTGGCGATAAAAACGCTGAAAGGAGGATACGTGGAGCGTCAGAGGCGGGACTTCCTGCGCGAGGCATCRATTATGGGCCAGTTTGACCACCCTAACATCATCAGGCTGGAGGGCGTGGTCACAAAAAGTAAGGCAACGCTTGCAAAAACTATAATGTTCTTTAATGCATCTTTGCATCATTGTGTGTAGCTGTTAATTATATAAGTGTCCTCATTGACACTGACTCCAGCAGCAGAAAGACATCTCTCTAATGCCACACTAATATGCCCTGATCAATCTATAAAGTAATATTACTATTTAAATGTGTGCTGAATAAGAACATATCATTCAGTAATAAATAATTCAGCGACTGAAAGTACAACACTCAGATTGGTTTTCGTCTGTGTGTACTGGATCATTTTTATTCWGCTTATGTTTTACTTTTAAGGTGTTTTCCAGAGAATAACTCCAATTTCCAGTGTACGTGCAAAATAAAMGCGTATCTGTAGCATTTAAAACTATGAACTCGCTTTGAAACACTGTTTTCAAGTCTGACGKATTTTCTTTCCTTGTTTGTTTAAGTAAAATGTAGAAAAATCATCATAATGCATCAGATGTCTTTTGTTTTATTCTGAAATGTTGAATATTTCAGCTTGACCTCATAAAGACGTTGCTCTCGTTCAGTTATTTTCTGTGTGCGTTTGTGTGTACATTTTGTAAACTTCATCTCTTTTTTTATTTTGTTTTCTGCTTTTTTGCATTTTGTTCTTTAAAAAAAACATGTAGGAGAGAGAGAGAAAAAGTGAAAGGCACAGTGTGGACTTGTTAATGAGCTGTGTTTTACAGGGCACGCCAAGCGCAACATATGGTTGTATTTACAGGAGGTGTATAAACTGAGACATCACTGTGAATATAAATGTGTCCCCCYGAAGACTTTCCTGCCCTCCTCGAATGCAGATAAAGGACAATCTTCAGCTCTGACCCTGCTGATAAAGACTCCAGTGATAAAGGTTTTAAAAGGCCAATAATGCCATTACTGAATTAAAGCTGCTAATTACTGATAATATGCACCAATAGRTTTATTGGTTTTGTTGTTTTAGCTATTATCTTTTAAATGTTTGAACGATAAAATGAAGACATGCAGTTCATCAGCAAGATTTTATGTAATTATGAACTCTGTTCTGACTGTTTTTTGAGATTTGTCATAAAACAATTCAAGCGCTTTGAAGTCCGGATCAACAAGGAGGAACCCTTTAATTTTATTAATTCTTCAGGTTTTAAACAGTTTAACTGCAGGCATAAGAAAAGAAGTTAGCTGATTCTCAAACCTGTCTTTCTAAAACACAAAAACGCAAAACACTATCCGCATGTCAAATCAAATCACATAATCAAAAGCCTTTTGTGTTTGGCAGCGGGGTATCACACCGCATTTATTCTGGGTAAACTCCCCCTGCCTGCCTGTCTGCCTGGTTTGTCTTCTTTCTTTATCTCTTCCTCCATCTGTTGTTGTTGTTCTGCAGAGACTAATTATTGAGACTATTGTGCTGTGACTGACTGCCGTACCTGCTCTGAAATAACAGGTGACACATTAGATCCTGGTAAACAGGTGTGTTTGTTTTTGCTCGGGCGTTGCGCTGCGTAACTATATATCCTTTCTAGACCCCGCTAATTAGCTCGGCAAAGACAAGCTTGATCGAATAATTTACTTTCTGTCCCGGATGGATTTGTGTAAACGTGAGTGAGCGTGGGGGGGGGCTTCAACAAGTTTTGAGGATGTGGTGACATCATTGTGCAGATTAAAATAAAAAACATGGCCGCATCTTTGGTCTCAAGCATGTTGTGGTTTAGTACAGAACATCCATTATACTTAAATATTSACAAATTTCAAAAAGAAGACATAAAATGTAAATGAAAACAGAATYCAATGACTTACAGATCTTATAAACACATTTCTTATTTACAATAGAAGATAACAAATGTGTAAAATGTAAGATAATTTTGAATTATATGGCAGCGACACATCTCAAAGGGACTGAGGCAACATTAGGAACAGTGAAGAAGACATATGCATGCTGGGTTGTTTTACATTTTTCACCACTTCCTCTTAGAATTAGCGTTGTACAATTTGGTGATATAGGTTTACGTCTTTTAGCTGTCTTTGTTTTGATTTTGTTTTAAAAAGATCAACATTTTGAAGCTTGTTTGGCTCCCTGACATGAACAGATTTTAAAGGATTACCTCATCATACAAAATGTGCGCATGCTCATTCACATCATGGAACGAGTCCTTTCCGGTGAAAACAATCACACGCTGAGCAGCCAACATGGATTGGATCAAGCAGTAAGGGATGCRTGTCTGCCAATCTGCTGGAACAATGAAATATTGTTGTTCAAGAGCCCATGTTTGCACCATCTGCTTTCTTATAATTATGTTGTGTTTTGGACAATTTTCCTATTAAAAATGCAAAATATAGGGGGGGTTAAATTAGCCAAAGGCAGTCTGAGGAAGTGACATCTTCAGTTTTCAGTATCTGTTGCCACAAAGATCAAAATTAAACACTTTCCAGTAAGTTTAACATAATGCAGTTTTTATTTAAGATTTTTAGTTTCAGCTGTTACGTGAAACAACTTCATTTCCATGTAATTTTCTGCAGGTTCGTGCACTCAAAGAACCTTTGAGAAATTTTCCCTTTYCATCACACGGTGAATAAAACTGGCTTGAGTTGGGAGTGTGTGATCCAACCGGATTTAAGAAGCGCTTTCATTTCGTCTCCCCGCAGCTCGCTTTGCWGCTCTCCAGCGGACGGGCCTGGACAGTTGCCTCGTAGCCGCAAAGCAGTCGATCAGTGGCTCCACGGGGGGTCCTCCGCACGAAAACAAAAACTTTCAGGCGGGGAAAAGACTGAGTTTAGAGCTAATGTGTTCATTTTTTTTATTCTTTGATCAGGTCCCATATGACCGGTCGAGAGTTTGAAAATGGAAAAATTGCACAGGCCTGCCGTCTTTGCCTGACATCTCAATCTGCCATCAGTTGTCTGTATCCTCTCACTCTATACTTTTCTCTGATTTAAATGGAAAACACTTTCTCGCTGCGTTTTACAGTTTGTTAGCGTACACTTGATGTTTCACCTACATAAATACATTTAAATTACAGCACAGRTGTCAAACTCAAGGCCTGCAGGCCAAATCTGGCCCTCGTTAACATTTTGTCTGTCCCTAAAAGTTATACATTAATAGTGGAATATTTTTATGGTTTCTCTTTTTGTCATATGCCGTTGGAAGTTTTCAATAATCTTTGATTTTGCTGTTCTTTTTATTTATTTTTATGTCAATAATTGGATTTTTAGTGAGGTTTTTTGTTTTAATGACTGATTTACTGACTTGTGATATAATTATTTAAATAACTGTTGATGGAGAGTAAAGCATTGGACATGAATGCTAACAATATGTCTTTTTAAATTTAATATATGTTATTATTTCATTAAGTTATGCATGTTCTAATGCTACATAAAACATATTTGGAAAAAGGTAATTTGTATTTTTTAAAGTTAAATTGTTATATAAGATTTCTTCAATAAATGGTGACTRAAACTGACCCTCAGATTGGACCAAGCCCCCTGAATTAAAGGGTTGTTTAGGTTTGTTTATGTGAAATGAGGTTTCCAGTATACAGTTTAATCTAAAATACCAAGTTTTATTCTTTGGTTTCCACCTCTGACTCTGGACTCTAACCGAGTAAATTTCCACTGACATTAAAATCATCTTGGAGGCATAAAAATACGTGTTTTTGTCTTGTGTGACTGCAGGCCGGCCCGTGATGATCGTGGTGGAGTACATGGAAAATGGATCGCTGGACTCGTTCCTGAGAGTGAGTGTTTAAGCAAACGTAGAACTGCAGCGTGATAATGTATCCTCATGAGTGTGGCCGCCATCATAAATAATGTTCAGCTCGCTGATGTGTCTTTGTGCTCAGATCATTGCAACACTTTGCATGCAGATAAAAATCCTCACTTACTTTGGTGACTTATGATTTGTGTGAATTATGGAATATATTAGGCGTAGCACATTGTCTTGTCATTTTAGTGCCACCATAATTCTGAACTAACAATTTTCTCACAATATACTTTGTATTTTATGYTTTGCTGCGAGTGTCTTTGCTTTGTTTCCTTCTTTTTCACTGTGTTTATCATTTTTTTCCTCTCCATTTATCATGTTTGTGTAGATTCTTRGTCATCTGACTGGGACATTTCAAAACCTCAGACTTTTCTCCCCCTTTTAAAGGAGGTTATTATGCAAAATCGACTTTTCTGAGCTTTAGATCATGTTTTAATGTTATTCCCTCATCAAAGGCATGTCCAGAGAATCCACCCCCCCCCCTTTTTTTTTTTTTTTTTTACTCATTCATTGTTTTAGAAATCCTTACTGGTACAAAGCACCGCCTATTTACACAAAGTAGTCTGCAGTTGAGCTCCCACCCCTCAGAGCACGGGAAAATACATATACCACCCCACCCACCTCTCTTTAAAAGGTGACTGGACTTCTTTTTGTGATGCTTTGCTACTCATCCAGATTTTCAAGCTGAACTCACATGCAGTTCTCTCCCTTTTCTCCCTCCTGCCGTATTGTTGGGTTCTTTTAGTCCACACGATTTGGTCATTTGCCTGAAYATTCACACCAGAGTCAAACCAACTGAGAGTTAGATTTATGCCTGCTGAGTCTGGGTCTGAACAGTGTGTCGGTTGTATTTTTGCTTCTTTTCTGTCTTTTTATTTTTTTTTCTCTGTCTCTGATTGTTCGTGGCAGCAACACGATGGTCACTTCACAGTCATCCAGCTGGTTGGCATGCTGCGTGGCATCGCCTCGGGCATGAAGTATCTGTCAGACATGGGTTACRTTCACCGGGACCTGGCAGCTCGTAACACCCTGGTCAACAGTAACCTGGTGTGTAAAGTGTCAGACTTCGGCCTGTCACGAGTGCTGGAGGACGATCCGGAGGCTGCTTACACCACAACGGTACCTAGCGTCCCAAAAAACTAAAACACAAGCAGCTGTTGATGACTTTTTTTATAGAGGTAGCAGCTGTGGCTAAATGTTAGTTTGTTTTTTTCTAGCAGCAGTTATGTCTTATGAATGCTACCTTTAAACACTTTCTCCCAGTTTCCAGTTCAATGAAAAATAACGTTTTTTAATAAGGACAAACATCTAATTTTGTGCAATTGAAACTTGAGCCATTTAAAGCCATCTCCTTCTTTTCTAACTTTGGCTCTAAGGCCAGCAAATGATACTGTTGTCTTACTTTCAAACTGCCAAAAAAACAAATAATAAAAATTCTTATYATGGCTGAAAAGTAAGCAAACAGTAACCTTCATTCCCTGGCTTGTATGGAGGGTTTTATGTGAAGGAAATGATGTGTTTAAGGCTCAGATTTAAACTTTCGGCTCCAAAGAGCGGTGGTTAAAAACGGAGATTTGTTGAAAAAATATTTAGAAATGCAGAACTGTTTATGGCTGGAAATATTCCTAAAACATTTACAAACTGAGCACATTTTTTCCAAAAAGATTTGTTAAACATACAGTATGTGTCACAGTTRCATTCGACACTGATCCTGTTTAAATCAAAGCTGGAAGTAAAACCTTTTATAGAGTTTTATGTCTCCAACAAGTCAAAAACAAAAGGTTTTCTGTTTGTTTAAAACACTGATCTGAATAAATATGTCTGACATAAAGATCAGTTTATTTTAGGGGTAACTGAGAGCGAGATGAAGCTTAAAAAGGATACAAACTGGTGCAGTTTTAATAAAATTGTGAAAAACAAGTAATTTTCTGATGTCTTCACCACACAAACGTAACAGATGTAATGATCACACAAGCTTTTGTTTCTGCTCCTGAGCAGCTGCCTGATTTTTGTTTCATATGTTTGTGTCTGTTAAGGGTGGTAAGATCCCCATCCGATGGACAGCTCCTGAAGCCATCGCCTACAGAAAATTTTCCTCGGCCAGCGACGCCTGGAGCTACGGCATAGTCATGTGGGAGATCATGTCTTATGGAGAACGGCCTTATTGGGAGATGTCCAATCAGGATGTGAGTATTATGCTGCATGATTTTTTTTTTTTTTTTTTTTTTTTTTGCATGTTGTTTGGCATATTTTCTATTCTCGGCATCAGATTAGATGAATCCTGATTGTAAAAATATTACTGTTTACTTTATATTTGCTAGAAATAGTTTTTTTTTTCCTTTTCAAGCAGAAGCTAAATTTAAAATATCAATGATATCCGTATGAACGTTGTTACCCTTTAACAGTATGTGACTGTTAACTTTCAGCAAAAGTCTACCTCTGAAAGGAAAGAGGCTAAGAACAGAATTACTACGAAAAGAGTGGAAAAAAAGATGAGTAAGATAAAATGAAGGTACAGCAGAGGTCAGGGATTCAGAGGACTTCAGAGGGTCTAGTCGAAGAGGAGTTTAAAGCCGGGGATCAGTGTGGCTGAGCGACCCACTGATCCCCCGACTGCGGTCAGGGATTGGAGGGACCACTGTGGAAGCAGATCCATCCCTCTCTCTGCTGAGTGTGAAAGCTCCACRGTAATCCCTTCAACCCCATACGCACGGACTCGCACACGTCCGTACACGAACGCTCCGCGCTGTCATTAAGGTCTCGGGGTTTGAGATGGATTTGCTCTGTTTGGGAATTGCTTAGAAGTGCTTTCCGAGCCACAAAACCGTGCCTCGCATCCATCGCTTTGTGGTCACTCCCTGCTGCGCGCAGAGAAACATGCAGATACTCTAAAGTAAAGTCACTAAGTTTCCAACCAAAATGGATTTTTTTTTAACTCTCTGTCGCATCCACTTACGTCTGCAGGTGATTCTGTCCATCGAGGAGGGCTATCGGCTGCCTGCACCGATGGGCTGCCCCGTGGCCCTGCACCAGCTGATGCTGCACTGCTGGCAGAAAGAGAGGAACCATCGACCAAAATTCACAGATATCGTTACCTTCTTGGACAAACTCATTCGTAACCCAGGCAGCCTGTTGCCACTGGTAGAGGACCTCCAGAGGTACAGTACTGAAGAGTATCTGTTAGTGTCTGTATTTTTTTAAGCATCTCTAGAAGTATATTCACCTGTAGAATTAGAGTTCTTTAGAGAACAGTTCTCAAATGATTTCAAAATATTCAAACTATTTTRGAGAATAATTATAATTAAAATAAAYTGAACTTCTCGTTTTTGTTTTTTTATTAAATCAGTCTTCCAGAATCTCCAGGGGAGGAGATGGACTACCCAATGTTCATCTCTGTTGGCGACTGGCTGGATTCCATCAAAATGAGTCAGTACAAGAGCAATTTCATGGCAGCAGGCTTCAGCACATTGGATTCTGTGGCCAGGATGAGTATTGAGTGAGTCAAGCTGTTTAACATAATCGTTACTTGATGACAGGAAACTAAACAGAAGCTTGCAAACACACACTGAGACCTAGAACCTGTTTGGTCTGTATTAACAGCTAAAGGTCAGATGTAGGTATTAAACACAGACCAAGGTGAACGATTTTTAACCATAATGGAAAAAAAATGTTCAGATTAGCTTGAAAAATTGATGTTTGGAAACACAAATATGACTATAACTCAACTAGTAACTTAAAGTAGGCATATCCTGCTTTTAAATCCTTTCTTTTCACAATTAAATCATTCAGTTGGGGTCTTTATGAAGTGAAATTACTATACTTTAGTTTGAATTCCTCCTTATTCTAGCTTTACCAGCCCCTCTTTTACATCTTTTCCAATAAATATCTCAAAGTGCTTGTTTTGATATGGTTCCTTTAAGACGCTACAAGCCCYGCCCCSCTCCGGCTTCCGTGTCGGTCCACTCCGGTTTGAGAGAGGCAGGGGGGTTACGTTTTCTAGCAATGCAGAAACATTTTATTTACAATTTAATTAAAAGATGTCAGCAACAGTCTTACATGTTGGAGCCAGAGTCTGACCCAGAATGAGAGGAGAGTTGAGACGAGGAAATTTTGGTTTGTAGGTCCAGACCTTATTTGGTAATTCCATCGCAGATAATTTGACGTAAGAAAACGTTATGAAAATTAACTGAACGGGCTGAAAATTTTGACCTAAACAGAATATAAAGATATCTTTGCAGCACCAGAAGAAACTAARTTCAACTTTTATGCATTAGTAGAGCCTCCAAGTCTATAAMAAAATGTATTTAACAGCTAAAAAAAGTGGATTTTGCRTATGTCCCCTAAGTAATGTTTGGATATAAAACTGACTGACCTTTGTAGTCATCCTTATTCAGCCTTATTCAATATGACTGCCACAATACTACACAAATATGGCTTTAACTCAACTTGTAACCTGATTTAATAATAGTGTTTTTTGTTTATTTTTTTATTTATTTTTTTGTATTTTTCTGCACTTGTGTTTCACCTCTCGGCCTAGAGATGTGAGGCGTATTGGCGTGGAGCTGATCGGCCACCAGAGGCGGATCGTCAGCAGCATACAGACCCTTCAGTTTCAGCTTTTGCACGAACAGGAGAAGGGTTTCCATGTATGAGGGCTCCCATAGACACAGCCTGGGATGGACAGGTCGACGGAGCAAGAGGAAGTGAAGTCTAACCCACGAGAGGACGAGTCTAAAGCCTTGTGACTGAGTCTGAACCTGAAGCCCTCATGCAGGAGGTCTTTGGACACGATACTACAGCAGACCTTCCTGGTCACTTACTCTTCCCATAAGACCTTTTTTCTACTGAACAGTGCTTATTATGCCTGGTTCTACCAGACCCYTACAGCCTGACTGTACAGACTGGCCCAGGCCCTCCTTTAAGGGAATGTAATGCCTTGTTGCAACAGCGGCCCTTTGTGTGTGGAGCAACAATATCTTAGAAATGTAGATTTGCAAATGTAATCTACTAAATCTTTTGGATTTGTTTTTCTTTTCTTGCTCATGTAGCTGCTAACGGGTGTGCAATCTTTCTGTTTTAGTTCTTTGAAAAAAAAGCAACACTTAATATTTTTTAATTTTAGAGTTTGATCATTTATTCTAAAGGTTTATTGAAATTTACTTTATAGTCAACTGCTCTCCAGAAGAAGAGAAAAAAAATCCGGTACACTTAATACTTGAAGAAAGAAACGAGAAGCAAGTTATGAAGATGTGTTGAATGTTAAAAAGTGTATAGACGATTAATAGGAGTTATTATAATGTTCTAATATAAATATATGTGCAGTCCTGTTTGTGAAAGCCCTAGTAAATTTGGAAATTATTTAAATATTTTATTTATTTAAAGGTTTTATTTGAACTATAAAGCAGCAATACAGAATTATGCAGTCACCTCAGTATCTCAGATAGAGATGAAGAATTGTAAAATGGGTCAGATGCTCAGCTTTCAGAACTTTGTCGCTTTGAAGAAGAAAAAAAAGGCACCACAGAAGTGACAGTTTTGAGCAAATCTTTTCTCCAGTGTTGTGTGATCAACATGATTGTTCATGAAATTTATTTTTGATTGTGAATGCATGAATATGCTTTGATCTAACCCATTCCATTATACCTCTGGCTGTCCGTTCTGGGTTGTTTCCTGCTGGAAGGTGAACGTTCCTCTCCAGTCTTTTGCAGCTTCAACAGGTTTTCTTCTAGGATTGCCTTTTGTTTGGCTCCATCCATCTTCTCATCACCTCTGACCAGCTTTCCTTGTGTCTTCTCCTCTTTTCCAAAAACACCAGAGACAAGACAACTYGTCTTAGTAGGTTTGCAGTTGTCATCTTTCCACTTTCGGATCATGGATTGGACRGCGGGTCAGTGAGATGTTCAAAGCGTTGGATATTGTTTTATAAGCTAACCCTGCTTTGAACTTCACAACTTTTATCTCTGACCTTTCTGGTGTGCGGTTGTGTTGTTGCACTGTAGAGTTGTCAAAGCAGGAAAAGAGAGGGAAGCAACACAAACGGCACCATAACAACTCATCACGTGTCGTTTTAACATCAGCAAAAACAAACACCTGCACCGACGCACACACACACATACACACACGCTGAATGCCTTACAGTCTGCCATGCAAGGAAAAAACAACTTTATATTAGTCCACAGGTTTTAGCGCAGTCACAGGACCTAGCCATTTGTTTGAATCGTATGAAAGTGACCACCTGCGTCCACCCATTGTTTTTATAACTCACTAACCGGACCTGGAGCTCTGTGCCTTCCGGTCACAGCGCAGTCATGCATCAGGCCTGCAGGAGCGGGGACAGGTAAACGCGCACACATTACGGATAGATTTTTTGCGCACACACGCTCTCACAGTTGCCACCCCTCTACAGAACCCTGAGATGATCAGATGCTGTTTGTTTAGCATGTTCTACTGCTGAGCAATGTTAGAACGTTCTTTTGTACAAAGTACAAGTATACCTATAATTCTTGTATTTTATTTTTCTATGATTTCCAAAGAGATGTCGTAGATCTTGCACACTGTAAGAGGCAGTTACAGCGAATATTTATTTGCAAATAAAGACGAACAGTTCTGGTGGTTGACTGCTCATGCAATTTTGTCATCATTTTGTTTTTTTTTTAATGTGAAAAAGAGTCTAAAACTGGCAGGAATGTCAGCAGGTGATATGCATTCCTTTAGAGTAAAGCTCTGATTTAAAAATATACATTTTAAATCATACAACTGAATTCCAATGTTTTAATTTGTCTGGTAYACAAATGATTGTCAGATGTGACCAACTTTTATCACTTTTCAACCTGATTATTTAATCATGAAACCTTTAATTTTACAGACGACCAATAGGTGGAGCTGTTGGACCAGTCATCAGGTTCAAAACATATGAGATACTCTGAAATCATGAAGAGAATTTAATGAGTTATTTTTATTTCTACTGCTAAAATTTGCCTGCTGAGTATCGTTATCACCTTTACATATTTTATCAGTATGCTTACATTTACATTGCTCCGATTTGTTGCTGTAAAAACTCGTGTTAATCCGACCTCTGAACTGTTCCTGCTGCTTGGATTTGCATTTTTCACCAAATGAGCCAAAGCATATTGTGAAGCTTACACAGACTCCATGTGGATTCATGTTTGAGGACAGCAGAGGTGGTGAAAGATAAGCTGCTGCTGTTAAGTACTATGTTCCTTCAACAGATTTGAAGCACAGGGCGGCCCTTCAGAGTGTAATAAATCAAATGCTTCGGATGGGGGGCCTGGAATGCTCCGTATGAGCAGGTCACTGGGTGGTTCACTGGACTTAATTCGCCCTAATAGGATTACCTGTCCCAAGCTGGGATGGCCAGGCAGCACCTCATCTATTAACAGCATGCACAGTGAATATTTCACCACTAATGTTGGGTTTCATTAGAATCTGTGAATGCATGACGTTTGATTACCAGTAATCAGACCCTCTATGGGGTCTGAGTGAAATGGGGCTTCTGGATAAACTCTCAGGCTGGCTCAATCTGAAGAAGAAAGAAGTCAACGTTTTGTGTTTGGGGCTGGACAACAGCGGGAAAACGACCATCATCAACCAGCTCAAGCCATCGAATGTAAGTTTTATGACACTGAGGATAAACTGTGGCTGTTGTTGGATAAACTACAGTGGGCTTCATGTTTGCAGTCCTGTGAATCACTTCTAATGCCATTTTAATATCTGTTGGCGTGCAAACTGCAAAAAGGGCCTGGCAACATCTTTATTTCACTGCGATTTTGTTTTCAGCATCCAAATCATTTAGGGCCGCTGTCAGCAGAGTGGAAACATGTTTGTCAGGTAAAACCTTTATTATAATAATCTTTTATTAGCTTCTTGATGACATACTTTGGCTTTTRCTTRTGTGTTTTTRTGTGTTTGCATGTGTGTGTGTGCAGACAAAGGCACAAGATATAGTCCCAACGATTGGCTTCAACATCGAAAAGTTCAGGAGTTCAAGGTAAAGTTAAATAAGCTTTAATACCAAACTCAAGCTAGTTAATAATAATATTAAATATAATGTTTTTTGCAGCCTGTCATTTACAGTCTTYGATATGTCTGGTCAAAGCAGATACAGGAGCCTGTGGGAACATTACTACAAGTAGGAGACATAAACAAACACTACACACCTATAATGTGTAAAGTCTTTATAATAATCATGTTTGTTTTTGTTGTTTTGTTTTCTGCAGGGAAAGCCATGCCATTATATTTGTTATAGACAGCAGTGACCAACTGAGAATGGTTGTTGCTAAAGAGGAGCTGGATACTCTTCTCAACCATGAAGGTAGAAAAAACACAATTCTTCACTTTTCTTCACATTGACACAAACTTATTAAGAATATATGGAAAAGTATTGACCTTTTTACAGCTGCTAATGCACATGTGTAAAACTGGGCACCACCCTGCTAAATACAAATTCACCTGATTTTTAATTGACTTTTACACACAAGAATACCAAAATACTAACTTTGAGCATGGAGCATTAAAAACTGGAAAAAAAAGGTCAAGTGTGAAAACAGACTTTAAATTGTGATTTTGAAAATAAAGTTAGGATTCTGAGAAAAATCGTCTGATGTTGAAGTTATACGAAGTTATTCAGAGAATATCTGAACTCTGACATTTTAAGTATTCTAAAATAAAGTTAAAAAGTCCAAAAAAATTGTTGGGATTTTGAAATTAGTCAGAATTCTAACTTTTGTTTCTGAGATTAAAATGAGAAGTTTGAGCGTAATCTCAGAACGCTTAGATAAAATTTTAACTAATAAGAGTTGTTGTTTTTTTGTTTTTGTTTTCCAGTATGGCCCTTATCCTGTTCCATACTTAAGCATTCTTCTCAATTTACAGTTAAACTGCTAGGCTGAAACTTTAAAAAAATATTAAATGTATTTAAATCAGCACAATTATCAGCTTTGATCAAGTGAAACAATATTTTTGCCCWAATCTGTGAGTGTTCTGTTACCAAACTTTCTTATAGCCCACAGATAAGTTAGTTTCTGTCTTGTCATCTTGTTCACGTCTTTCTTTTTAGATATCCACAATAAAAAGATGCCAGTATTATTATTTGCTAACAAGATGGACCTGCGGGACGCAGTGTCTTCTGTCAAGGTCTCGCAGATGTTGCGTTTGGAGAACATCAAAGACAAACCCTGGCACATCTGGTAAATGAATCCATCACATCTGGTTTCACCCTGATAAAGCATCAGTAACCTTTAGTTTCAAGGAATTAAATTCAAACAGAACTAATTGACCTCTGGATGTCTTCAAGTCTTAAAGCATGTTTACTGTGTGTGGATTTYAAGTCTGCTTCACTGATTTTTCCAYGTCTCGGGAGGCAAATCCCTGGCTCTTTYCCAAATGTTTTTTTTTACTCGTTAGGCAGATGGAAACTTTATGGATTAAGAGCTTGACAGCTTTAAACAGTCAGGGTTTAAGAAAAGTCATCAGAAAATGATTGTAGTGCAAAAACGTTGATGAAACGCATGTTTTGTTTTTTTAAGTGCCAGCAACGCCATCAAAGGAGAAGGTCTGCAGGAAGGGATGGACTGGCTGCAAGGTAACGTTACAAATCATGCAGGGATAAGAAAGAAAATCAGATTCAGTGTTTAGTTTTTATCTTGTAACCAACTCACAAGGTGTTTTGTTTTTCATACCAACAGATCAAATTCTACAGTAAGTACATTTACAACTATCCACATTACAGGGTTTAGTTTTTTTTTTTGTTTTGTTTTGTTTCAATTTTGTGTCCTGTGAAACGTTTCCACCCAAAAATTCTTTTTCACCATTTTATTTTTAAAYGTTGCAGTCAACTACTTCCTGTGACAGACACTGGGTAGATAATATGAACAATGTTTTTTCTTTCTGCCAGATCGTATCAAAACGAWGAAGTGAAGGCATGACCGCGGACAGTCGGATGTGAAAACTCTCCAGCATGTATTCATCACTTTTGATGATGTAGGCCTTAAGTTTCGATGTCAAATAGCCTAGCTCTTATTTTTGTGCTACTTTTAAAACTTCCATGTGGAGCAGCTTTAACAAAATATGATTTTAAGCACTCCCAAAAACCCAAATGTGTATGTCTAAATATGCATAGCATATTCACTTGTTCCTGCACACAGTAACGTTTAAATATTTTTGTGGCTGTTTTTTATTATTATTTTATTTGATGCACTAAACACTTTTTAAAAAGGTGTCAATGCTGCATTTCCATCTGACTGGAAATTATTAAAAGCCTGTTTGTTGAATGGATGCAATTTCTTTTAGATAACATTAAAACACAAAATAATGAAACCTCAATGTTCCAAGGTTATAAAATGTTTATTCAAATATCCAAAAGCTTTAACAGGAGTGCTTACATAAACAAAATAAATATATCATCAAAAAGTTTTACACAATAAATAAAAATAAATATTAAATATGGTTTATAAAAGTTAACACGAGGAACCAGACAGTAAAATGCTAACACAAAGTGATTTATAAATAACAATACWGTTTAAAACACTTAAATATCTGTTTTCAAAAGGTCTCACTTTTTAAAGATGAATGTTAAAACATGTCTTCTTTTTGTTCTTAAACTGCTTTAAACTCACATCCAACACCTTCAGTGTTGACACCAGTTACTCAACTCCAGGTTTTGCTGCTTTCGATCAGCGTAGTTCCTATTTGAGGAGCATGTGGAGGAAAATGGTGTGGAAGCGAACGTTGGATTCCAGGAGGACGGACAGTGTCTGTAAAAACTGCCCRTCTTCAAAGTGGTCTCCTAGAAAGAGAAAAAAGTGTTACTGACTTTTGAAACTGCTTTGCTGCCATCGAAGGTTTCTSTACAGGGTTCTAAAAAGTATGCACACACAAGAAACGTTTCTGAAAAACAGAAAACCTCACTGATGTGATAAAAATATGAGATTTAGTTTCTTTAGTGGACTGATGCAAGTAAAGTGACAGGACAGTTTAAAATCCCTGCTTTCCACTTTGCTTTTCAACATCCACTCACTATAACCTGTTATCTAATATCAGTGTGTAGAACTGTTTGATTTATTCAGACTAATAAATGCATGCCAAACAGACCCTCCTGTTGTACTACCAGATATTAGCATGTCTGCAGTAAAAAAAAAAAAAAAGGTTGGATTTAGTTGGAGACAAATCAAGGTCTGCTGCAGGCAGGCGCCACGTCTGACTCAAAAACAGTAACACTTGAATAAAAGTACAAGCATTATATAAAAGTCTACTCTAAGAATATTACTTGAGTAAAAGTCTTAAAGTATCTGACATGTACTGTACTGAAGTATCAAAAGTAAATTTCTGATATAAAATGTACTTAACTATTCAAAGTAAAAGTGAGCCAGTAGACTTTCCAAAATGACATTTATTGGGAGATGATTTCACCAAAAATCTTTTTCTAAAGGCTATAATATTTATACTCCTCATCCAATAACAATTAAATTCACTCCATCTTGTAAGCACCAAATATCTGGATGAAAACAAGACTTCATAAATAGAAGTTAGGGCTGGGCGATTATTTGATCGTGATTGAACGAGAAAATTTTCGGGTCGATTACAGTGATCAGCTGTGAGCCTCTTTACTCCATCAAACATGGTGGAAATGTGTGTGACAACAGCCAATCAGAATCCACCTTCTGCTGCTCCACTTTTATTTATAAGTTGTTAAAGATGTGCGAACAGAATCGTGGAATTGACCAAACATAATGTAATCCAGTATTTTAAAAAACCACTGAATCTCACTGATTCGCTTATTTGGGCGAGTTTCTGCCGCGCCCTGTACCTGCTTCACCCTCCCACGAGAGAGGAAAAAAGAAAAGTGAGCCACAATGCACTGTGAAACAGACTCACTAAATCAGAAACGTCCTCCAAAAATATGAAGTTTATGGTAACGTTTAGGACAGAACAATGTCTCAGCAGTTCTTTATTTATCTGAAGAAGAACTTTTCTGCAAATTTTGTCGGCACACTTTGGGCTGGATGTGTAAGAAAACGTGCGAAGGCCACTTCTTGTCTGAGTCGCATCACAAACAGCGAGCTGAGAGACACCCTGCAAACTCCTGAACACTCAGAAGTAAGGTGGGAGTTTATCCAAGATTTTGTTGTGTGCAGAATCAAATATCACTTTAGAAAAAATAAAAAAGCTTTGTCAGTTGTTCGATAAAGAACTATAAGCAGAAGTGGGTGTGGGGGCTTCCTTAAAAACAGAAGTAAATAAGATTAGATCCTATTCAATAGGCAAGTGTGCACAAATTAAATAAAAAAAACGTTGCTCTTTGTAGGTTTATGTTTCTTTATAGCATAATAAATGTGAAATTCAATTCTAAAACTTATATTTTACAAAAGGATAACTT